TACTCAAACTCATGCCCATCGACCTGGTGATGCCATCCAGCCATCTCATCCTCTGTCATCCCCTTCTCCTCCTGCCCCCAATCCCTCCCAGCATCAGGGTCTTTTCCAATGAGTCAACTCTTCGCATGAGGTGGCCAAACAAGACCCCAGTAAATGCAATGCCTCTACCCCAGCCTTTGCTGACTCACTGCTGCTCACCTCGCCCCTCTGCGGCCCCACTTACAGTTTCCTTACAACAACTGTCTTTAGAACATGGGTCAGGGAGATAGACACCCCTCGGCCTGTCAGGTCCTCAGGTGCGGTATCAACCACGGCCACCCCACTAGCTGTGCCCGGTGCCTCAGTGGTGACAGGAAAAGAGACAGGAGGAGAAAGCCTAGAACTTGGGGTTGTGGGGCCAACAGGAAGCTCCTGCCCGTGTGGGTATGAACCCCAGAGAGTTGGGAAGCTGTTCTACCCATCCATGGCTGCCTCGCCAGAGCCCCAAGGACCCCCAGCCTGGGCCTAACATCCCCAGGCTAGATATTTCATCTCTCTCAGCCTGTGGAGGGCCTGGCCTGAGAAACGGGGCCATCACCACAGCAGTCACGGAACAAATGGGTCCCACCAGTCGGAGGGGAAGCCATGGATGGTTGACCCACTTGGTGGTGCCGGCCGGCTGGTTCAGCCAAGTTCCTGAGTTAGCCTGTGAAGATCTGAGCTCTCCTCCTGTCTGCTGGATGCCAGGTCAGAGATTGTGATTCCCAGACAAAGTGCACACATGGCTATTAGTGTGTCTGTGTCAAGCTCCGCAAGCATAGAAGGCAGCAGAAGGGACCAGGGCTGCCCCTGAGGCCCAAGGATGCTGCTGGTGGCTGATGTTATTCTGAAATCACAGGGCTGATGCCTTTGATAAACCACATGAAACCAGGTGAAGCAAAGCCAGGAGGCTTTGAGTCCCTAGGAGGAGGGTGTCAAGAAAGAAAAGTGGGGTCTTCCCTGGTGGTCCAGGGGTTAAGGCTTTGCCTTCCAATGCAGGGGGTGTGGGTTCCAGCCCTGAGCAGGGAGCTGAGGTCCCTGTGGCCTGTGGCCAAAAAACCAAAACATAAAACAAAAGCAATACTGTAACAAATTCAATAAAGACTTTAAAAAGTGGAAAAAAGAAAGCCTTGTCTTACTCAGGGTGACCAGGGCAAAGCCGTCTGGAGAGGGTGTGGCTGTTCCCCTACCTTTAGTCACAGAGGGGACCAGGTTTAGGACACCTTACTGGGGCAGGCGGGGCACACCCTGCCGTGTGTAAATGCTGCCTCCAGGCCCAGCTCTCAGAGTGTATGGATTTATTTTGAGAATTTCACATCATGCTCATGTTCAGTGCCTTGGGGTGCCTGGCCAGGAACGTGTGAATGCTAAAGAGACCCACTTCCTGTTACAGGGTCTGCAGGCTCAAGAGCAAGAGACAGGAAGATGAATTCCAGAAACACTGCAGTTATAAGACAGGCTTAAGAAACTCCAAATGGAAAAGAAATCTGACTTTGTTTCTCCTGACTCTGCAACAATGTATCTACATCTATTATCTATACCTGTATCTACGTCTATGCCTGTATTATCTATGTCTGTCTTTATACAGGCATAGATATGGACATCTTGAGCTCCTCTCCTTCCTAGGAGGAGAGAGAAGACACGAGGGACCTGCAGGCACTCACCTGCATGTCACGTTCTGTGATGCAAGAGCATTCCTCAGGCTCTTCCTGGTGACGTCCAGCGCACAAATGGTTCCTCTGCCTTCTCACCTACCCAGCCCCAGATCTGGCCGGAGTCTTAGGAAAGGTCACTGATGTTAGCAAACACCTGACTGTTGGGAAGCACTTTTGTCTGCGTCGAAAAGAAACTGCAGCCAAATGAGCTGAAAGCTGCCTCCCCAGAGAAGGTCCCTGGACCCAGGCTCACCTGACCCTGCCTCCAGCCCTTTCTGAGGGTCCCACCATCTGACAGCCCAACCTGGGGGGATGGTGGCCATCCCTCAGCCCCTTGGGCGGCAAGCTGGCTCTTCGGACAATGCAGGCGGAGAGAGGTGGGGATCCTCCCGGCACCCTGTGAATTTGTGCTGATGGGCCTCTGCGTCTAAGATCTGGAGCAGGGCACTGGACCCCCCGGAAGGAGAGGAAAGCGGTTGTAAACTACTCAGCTGGAAGGAAGAATATTCCTCTGAATTCTCTATTGAGAGACAGATAAACCTGGGACAGATAACGAGGGCATTTTGAAAGACTAAGGAAAACTCTGGGACTATTAATGGCCTTGAAAGGCCTTTCAGGACAAACTAAAGCCACAAACTGTGCCCAGGGAGGGGGGTGATGGCACATGTTGGCCCTGGCCTGTAATTGGGCACCTGAGAAGCATGTCCGATTCCATGAGACACACTTGCCGGGCATCTGGCCGGCACCGAAACCTCCCCAAAAGGTGTCCAAACTCTATATCCATCTTGCTTACCTTTTGCTCACCACCCTGTCCTCTGAAGTCATACTTGAACACAAAGAAAACGACTGCAGGCTCGGTGCTGTGCTGAGTTGCTCAGTCGTGTCCGACTCTTTGTGACTCCATCGTCTATAGCCTGCCAGGCTCCTCTGTCCACAGGATTTCCCAGGCAAGAATACTAGAGTGGGTAGCCACTCCCTTCTCCAGGGGATCTTCCTGACCCAGGGATTGAACCTGGGTCTCCTGCATTGCAGGCAGATTCTTCTGCCTTTCATCTGCCTTCCTAATATTTAATAGACAGTATTTGCCACACGCTGTGTCTTCCCTTAGACAGTGTCTTCTCTGCAGAGGTGTAGAGGAACGTGCATTGAGCAGTGACGCCAATGGAAATCGCCACCTGCTGCCACTTTCATGCTCTCCCCCTCCTGCCTTGACCTCTGTGCTGAGGGGACAGGTCCCTTCCCCCTCCACCGAAGCTCAAGGAAACAGCCAGGTAGACCTGGCAGCAGACAAAAGTAACCAAGGCCAAGGGACCTGCAGTGTCCAGCCTCGCCAGGGATGAAATCCTTGCTGTTGATCTTCCTGTTGGCGCTTTTGGAGGGGCTCTCCCTCCCACCCACACCCCTCCCCCAAGGGACAGGGCCCTTTTGTCATCTGCATACAAAGCACCCGGACTGAGTCAAAAGAAAGAGCTGTGTGAGTCACTCAGTCTCGTCTGACTCTTCAGGACTCCATGCACTGTACCCCTCCAGGCCCCTCGGTCCATGGAATTCTCCGGGCAAGAATGCTGGGGTGGGTTGCCATTCCCTTCTCCAGGGGATCTTCCCTACCCGGGGATCAAACCCAGGTCTTCATAGCAGGTGGATTCTTCACCATCTGAGCCACCAGGGAAACTGGCATTTCAGGTGTTGCTAACTGGATTTCTCAATACCCTGGTCCCTCAGGAGTGGGGTCCATTCCCACCTAGACCTCAGGTCAGCCCAGAAATCAGCTCACTGGGCTTTCCTCTTGTCTCCAGCCTGCTAGGTTTCTTCAGCCTAGCAAAGGGCTGCCTCCAGTCATCAGCTGGCTTCTGACCTCAGGTTGGAGGCGAATGGGCCGGGTGGGCTGAACAGCTCCCCTGGGGTCTCAGGGCTGACAGGTTTCCCGTGTTGACGGTTCAGTACAGAGCAAGAGCAGTGGAGGCGGGATGCCCATGTCTTCCACGTCCGTACCTGCCACGCTCAGAAAGGTCCCTGGTGAGTGGCGGCTCCTCCCTGGAGCCGGGTGACCAATGTCGGGGGTGAGACCTGGCCTACTGTCACCCGCACCGCGTATGGCCACATTCTGCGAGTCTGTGAGGTTTCCCGGGCCCCACCTGGTACTTCCCCTGAGGCTCCAAGGCCGAGCACTTCCTAAGGAAACCGGGGGACACATGAAACCCGCACCCGTATAATGAGGACCCGGGAGTAGGGGTCTGAAGAGGACGCAGCCGCAACCGTGCTGCACTTAAGGAGTTTCAGAACTGCGCTAGAACCAAGCCTGTTGGGAGGAGGCGAGAAGAGGGGGACCAGCGCAAAGGTGGCTGTGCGCGCGTAAGAGGAAGGGCAGGCAGGCTCTCTCCGGGGACGAAACGGTTAAGTCGCCCGCAGCGCCCTAGGCGTCCGGTAGGGGTCGCGCGCCGGCGGGAGCGCGGGCGCTGGCGGGCGGGCCTCGGGCGGTCGGGGCCCCTGACGTCACTGCCCCACGGTCGCCATGGCGACGTCCTCATCAGCGCGCGCGTCAGAGCCGCCAGTCTCTTGGCAACCGCCCGATCTCCCGCTCTCCCTCCGCCTGGCGCTCGGCCGCGCGTCGCTCTGGCGTCAAAAGGACGTCAATGGGGATGTATCAATCCGGCGGCGGCGGCGTGGGCGGGGCCGCCGTGGGCGGGGTCGGCGGCGTGGGGGCGTGAAGGGGCGGGCCCGGGTGGCCGGGGGCGGGACCGGGGGCGGGGCGGACGGCGCGTGCGGCTGGAGAGCGCGGCTCCCGGCTCAGAGCTGACATGCGGCGCGGCCCGGGCGGCAGGCGGCGGAGCAGCTGGCGGCCGGGTAGAGCGAGCGGCCGAGCGGGCGGCGGGGGCCGCGGGGCGAGCGGCGTCCCAGCCTCGGCGCTCCGAGGGCGGCGGAGGTGAGGCGCGGTCCGGCGGGCGGGCGGCCGCCGCCGGGCTCGGGGCTGCGGGCTCGGGGGCCCCGCAGGTGCGCGCGCGGGGTTTTCGGGCCGTGGCGCCGCCGCCAGCTTCCCCTTTGTTGTGCGGCAGACAGCTGGGGGCCGTGGGAGCGGGGGTCCGGGGCTCGGGACGGAGTCGGGCGCGGGCGGCGGTCCACGCGCCCCGCGGGGCTTGGGACCCGGAGCCCGAGCGGAGCCGACTACGGGCGGCGGGCATAGGAGCGGGGCGCACGGCTCCCGGGATCGGAGCTCGCGGTGGAGCAAGTCGCCGGCGGGGGCGGTGGCCGCGGGTCCGCGCGCCTGGGAGTTGGGTCTGCAGGCGCCGAGCTGAGCGCGCCCCCCGCCCGCAGGTGCGGCCCGGAGCCATGGTGATCATGTCCGAGTTGAGCGCGGCCCCCGCGGGCTCGGGCCAGGGCCAGCAGAAGCCTCTCCGCGTGGGCTTCTACGACATCGAGCGGACCCTCGGCAAGGGCAATTTCGCTGTGGTGAAGCTGGCCCGGCATCGAGTCACCAAAACGCAGGTGCGTGGTGGGGGGCGGAACCCCGGGGTGGACCCTCCCGCGGGTGGATACCCCCTTTCCCCGGAGCCGGGGAAGCTGATGAAATCCCAGCTTGTGGGGTCCATCGTCCCAAGGTCGAAACGCTGCCAGTTTTTATCAGTTTGGTAAAGAAAAAAATGCGATATGTTATGATTATGCGTAATTTGTACAAATATTGGGGAATAGCAAAGAGGATAATGACCAAATAACCAGGAGTGCAGCTGGAGCCTGTAAAATGAGTCTGCAGAGACTTAAGACATTTATTGAACTTTGACTTTTTAGGTAATATTATTGGTTACTTTTGTTATTTTCCTCCCTAAGTTTTTGTGACCTTTGGGGACATAAAGTGCTTTTGAAATTAACCTGCAAAAATGAAGTGTGTAAATTACCTTAAGGCAGAGAGTTTTATTTCAACAAAATATTCTTTATTAATAATTTGTAGGTTGCAATAAAAATAATCGACAAAGCACGATTAGATTCAAGCAATTTGGAGAAAATCTATCGGGAGGTTCAGATCATGAAGCTTCTGAATCATCCTCACATTATAAAGCTCTATCAGGTAAGGATTCAAGTGTACGTTCCACTGTTACTTCTGGCAAGTGTATCATTTTTTAATTTTCAACAACTTAAGTCTACAGTTTCTGAAGGTTGTCTCTCTGGGTGGGAGTCAGGGAGTTGATTGTAGAAGGTAAAGAGATTGCTTTTCGTGAGCTGTGCACTTATTTTTTCTTGCTTTTGGATCATAATCCAGATTTGCTTCATTAAAGTTTTATTTGATATTGTTACTCGCTCCAGTTTTGGGTGCGTGGAGGTTGATTGTTAAATTTACTATGAAAACAACAACAAAAAATGGATTTCTGTATTGCTGAGAGTCAACCATTTAGTGTGAAAGGACAAATTTCAGTCTAGACACTTCCACCTCGGCAGATTTTTATTAAACTTTAAAACTAGCTGCTGTTACCGATTTTTGTAAACTTACCTATGCCAAGGCAGCAGTGAGCATTTGTCTATCCTGTTTCCACCCTCCCATCAGAAATGGAGACATAAAACACCCGTGCCTGGGTGAGAGCAGGGAACCTGACATCTAATCCACATTGAGAATGTGCCTCACCCTATCCGCCTGTTGTTTTCCTTTGTGACTTTATTTTTGTTCTCCTGTTGAGACTAATAAATTGTACCTTTGGAAACTAGGTGCTGATTTAATTAGAACAGCGGAGCAACCTTCCTTAGCCAGCCACTTCTGTAGAATGAACTCAGGTCCACTTTGGAAGGTGTTGTTCTTTGAATTCACCCAGTTGTGTTAGGTGTAAGTTCCTTTTGAGGAGTCTCATGAAACCCTGTGGATCCGCAGTGAATAGAGGACGGTGTGTGTGGGGGGTGTGCCCTTGGCACGGCCAGGTGGAGAAGAGGACTGTGATTGACATGACCCTGGGGAAGGCTGCTGCCCTCGGTTACAATGAAGGATGAGGGAGTCATAGGGCTCGTGTTCCCCCTAATGACAGTTTACTCGGAGTCGTTAAGCGCGCAGCTCACGTCATGTGCACTCTGGTTCGTGTTTTGTTTCTGTTGTCGTTTTTGCGTCGGGAGGCCAAGATAAGATGTTTCCTCCACAGTCACTGATGTCAGTGCCTGAGCAATGTGCCTGCCCCGTTTCCGCAGGAGTGGACTGAAGCCTGCCTGCCTTTGACTTTGCCGGGGGTGGGGGATGAGCCAGGGCCTTCCCCATCTTCCTGTCCTCCGCTGACCCTGGGCAGGAGGATCCCGGGTAGCCAGACGCCCGGCCCCTGGGATCCACATTGAGGTCTTTTCTGGGGGTGAATTTGCTCACCGCTCCAGGAGCTGCTGTTGGGAGACGGGCTCGGGGGGCAGCAACGATTGTACAGCTCTCGTTTTGACACTAGTGTCTAATTTGCATCCAGCTGGCCCAGGCCCCAGAACCTCAGTGAGACACTTCAACTCTTTCCTCAAGGTTTTTTTTAAACTTCAAACATGTTGACTGTTAAATCTTTCTGCCTCTTTTTTTAAACTGAGGAAAGGGATAAACTTAAAAGTCCATCTACCACACAAGGTCCAGGGCAGTTACAGTTGTAGCTAGATAGCATTGTGTTTGCTCTTCTCTTTAAGTTGATGGCTCGAAGTGCCTTTTTAAAGAAATAATTAAATTTTGAACCTCCAAGAGCTCTTTTTTAAATAAGGATAACTTCTGAAAATAGTCCCTGGCGGTCCAGTGATTAACACTTTGCCTTCTAATGCAGGGGTTGTGGGTTCGATCCCTGTAAAGGGAGCTAAGATCCACATACTTCAAGGCCAAAAAACTGAGACATAAAACAGAAGCAATATTGTAACAAATTCAAGAATGAGTTTAAAAAATGAAATATTTTAAAATACATGTACATGAGTCTGTTTTACTCCTTTCCATACCAAAGATTTGAATTTGACCTCGTTTCTTTGTTATGTTTTAAACTCTTAAAAAAAAATCTTTTTTTCCAATGTGAAATAAAATTCTCGGATCAGTAAACGAAGCTTTAAGGTGTGTTTGACATTGGCTGTTGCTATTGACTCACGCACTGAGCAGTTTGCTGTAGGGAAAATGGTCTTTCATAACTCACCTGGCAAAGCCGGCCTCTCTCAGCGTAATGTATCAGGTCAGTAACGCAAGTGGGGAGGGGAACTTCTTATCTATTGTTCAACTTGTGCTGGCCCTAGGCATGGGTAACCTGTTGTCTGCTCAGCTTCTAGTAGAAAGGCCTCGCAGAACTCTCACCATCTATTTTACTTCTGGGGCCTGCAGAGCCTTTACTTTGAGTGAGGAAAGTGAGTTAAAAATATGGTAGAGGTGAGTTGCGGCCCGAGCAGATGTTTTTGGAAGCGGATGTGTATTGGGGTGGACAGGTTAGTGAGGAGCTCACATCTGATTTTAAAAAACTTCCCCCGAGTAGGAAGTCCCTTTGTCTCTTTACTGCGGATGTTTTTCTTTTCTTTCCCTATTTCTTGAAATAACAAATATGCTTATTCTGGAGAAGTTAAAAATTTACAGGGTTTCAAGCGGATTTTTTATACCATTGGTATGTTCCTTTTTCATGGCGTTAAACGTTAGGTCTTTGTTTTTTTTTTTAGGTTATGGAAACGAAGGATATGCTGTACATTGTCACTGAATTTGCAAAAAATGGAGAAATGTTTGGTAAGCCATGCTCATTTTTGATATCTGTTGGAGAGAAATGGTAGTAACTTGTTCCCACTTGCCCCTCCAGTGGCGGGGTCTCCCCAGCGTTCTTTCTCTGTGCCCCGAGTGACGGCTGGCTGGACTTTTGGGTGTGGGGCTAGAGTTTCGTTTTGTCCCTCAGATTACTTGACCTCCAATGGGCACCTGAGCGAGAGCGAAGCCCGGAAGAAGTTCTGGCAGATTCTGTCAGCCGTGGAGTACTGCCACAGCCACAACATCGTCCACCGGGACCTGAAGACGGAGAACCTGCTACTGGACGGCAACATGGACATCAAGCTGGCGGGTGAGGGCCAGCAGTGTGTCCAGCGGGAGGGGTGCCTGCGGCTGAGGGCCAGCAGTGTGCCCAGCGGGAGGGGTGCCTGCAGCTGAGGGCCAGCAGTGTGCCCAGCGGGAGGGGTGCCTGCGGCTGAGGGGCTGGGAGTGTGCCCTGCGCCAGGGGCGTACCTGCCTGCCAAGGGTCCGTGCTTTCTTGCACGAGCCTTTGAAGCCTCGACCTTGCTGTTTCCGCCACAACTTCATTGCCTGTTTCTTTGCCTCTCAGATTTTGGGTTTGGGAATTTCTACAACTCAGGAGAACCACTGTCCACGTGGTGTGGGAGCCCCCCGTACGCAGCCCCAGAGGTCTTCGAGGGGAAGGAGTACGAAGGCCCCCAGCTAGATATCTGGGTAGGAGCCTGGGTGGCATGTGGGACATGCGTGGGGTGGGGGGTGCCCAGAGGGGATTCAGGTACACGCGGTGGAGGGCTTGGAGTGGCCATAGGTGTGCAGGGTGGGGGGCTCGGAGGGGACACGGGTGCATAGCGTGGGGGGGTCCAATGCCTGGGTGCAGGTGCTGACCTGCCGTCTGGTCCTCCTTCCGCAGAGCCTGGGCGTCGTGCTGTATGTCCTCGTGTGCGGGTCTCTGCCCTTCGATGGGCCCAACCTTCCGGCGCTACGGCAGCGGGTGTTAGAGGGCCGGTTCCGCATCCCCTTCTTCATGTCCCGAGGTAGGTGAGGGCCTGGCCTCCTCCGGGCGCGCGGGGCTGGCAGCCTGCTGGCCATGCGTTGGGTAACCTGGGATGAGAGTCTGAGGGGAGGAGGAGGAATTCATTTCCTGCAAGGCCTGCTTGGCCATCTTCTGAGTCTGCTGTTGGGCCTGGAAGCCAGTCCCCACTGCGTGGCGTTTACCAGGTGCCTCTGAGGCTGCCTGTGGGCCCTCTTATAGGGCTGGCCTGTCCCTTAGCAGGCTGTTGGGAAGCCGGCTCCCCGTGCCCCAGGTCTCACGCACCCCGCGCTGGGCTTTTCTCTCCCACTCCGACCGCTGCTTAATGACATACAGGATGGGGCTTCTAGGTGGTTCTCAGTCTAGTCCCCACATCCCCTGGGGTCGATCCCTCAGCCAGCGGCTCTCCTTGGTGGCAGTTCTCTTAGCCTCTGTGTTCTCTGGGATGGCCACTGGTCTGCTTGCCATGTGCCGGGGAGCCGTGTGCCCTGCAGGAGCCCAGGCGGGAGGTGGGGACGCACAGGCGGGCGGCTCGCGCGCAGGCTCAGTGCTCCGCTCCCGCCTCCAGACTGCGAGACGCTGATCCGCCGCATGCTGGTGGTGGAGCCCGCCAAGCGCATCACCATCGCCCAGATCCGGCAGCACAGGTGGATGCAGGCCGAGCCCGCGCTGCTGCTGCCGGCCTGCCCAGCCTTCTCCCTGCTGGGCTACACGTCCAGCCTGGGCAACTATGATGAACAGGCCCTGGGCATCATGCAGACGCTGGGCGTTGACCGAAAGAAGACAGTGGAGGTGAGCCACCTGCCCGCCTGCCGTGGGGGGTAGGGGGGCTCTCTCCCTGGGCAGCCGGACGGAGAAGCTGGCCCTTGGCAGCCAGGTCAAAATGGGAACAGCACGGCTCATTGAAGGGCTGCTCGTCCACTAGAAAGGGTACTTTTGTTCACCCCAGAATAACCCCAGAGTGGTCTGGTCAGGGAACATCCCTGCTGCCAGCCCCGCTCTGACCCGCCCTTCTCTGCCCCTAGTCACTGCAGAAGAGAAGCTACAACCACTTTGCAGCCATTTATTACCTCCTCGTGGAGCGGCTGAAGGAGTACCGGCTCGCCCAGCCAGCCCGCCCTGGCCCTGCCCGGCGCCAGAGGCCCCGGAGCACAGAGCTCAGTGGTTTCGAGGTGAGGGGGCAGCGAGTGCCCTTGATTCCCCCCCAGTGCCTCTGCCTTGGACCGTGTCCCCAGGTTAGGAGTCCGCCTCTCAGACACCCCTAGGAGGGTTGCAGGCTGAGCCCCGAGGTCACGTTCCCTCACCCGTTAGGCACTGGACGGGGGTCCCGTGTGTGCTGCCAGCAGACGGCGTGATGGAGAGGGAGTGCCAGCCTCTCTGCTGGGGTTCAGACCCTGCCCATCAGCCCCCTGTTCTTTCACTGCCCCTGATGCCGCCTCCCGGCTGCTCCTCCCGGTCTCCCTGCTCAGCGAGGCACTGGACAGGGGGTGTGCATGTCCTGAGCCTGTCTGGTCATAGCTGATGCCCGTTAACTCAGAACCCAGCCTGGTCTCTTAGGTGACACTGTGTTGCCGGCGGTCGTTCTGTGCCTCATGGCCTCTGTCTCCGTCCGCCGGCCCACAGGTACCTCAGGAAGGCCTCCCAGGAGACGCTCTCCGCTCCGCCCTGCTGTGCACGCAGCCCCAGACCCTGGGGCAGTCTGTGCTACAGGCCGAAATGGACTATGACCTCCACAGCTCCCTGCAGGTGTGTGAGCACCTCGCGGGCGGCGTCTGGGATGGGCGCGCCTGGTTCCCAGCGGCGGTGACGCTCCTGCACCTGGCCTCACGGTCTGTGTGTGTCCCTTGCAGCCCCTGCTGCTCCCCGTGGACACCAGCTGCGGCGGCGTGTACTGGCATCGCTCCGTCTCCCCCAGCAGCCTTCTGGACACGGCCATCAGTGAGGAGGTCAGGCTGGTCCCGGGCCTGGATGAGGAGCAGGAGGTGCAGGAGCCCCCGCCCAGCAGCACAGGCCGGAGGCACACGCTGGCCGAGGTCTCCACCTGCTTCTCCCCGGGAGCCCCGCCATGTAAGTGTCCCAGGGGCCACACGCACACCTGACAGGTGGGTTTAGGGGCGAGGCAGCCCCTTCTGATGACAGTGCTCCAGATTTGCCATTCCTGGAGCGCCTGAGGCCTTACGGACCGTACTCAGACCTCACAGGGAGCTCTCGAGCATCAGGGCTGGAGGGGAATTTAGCCGTCCTCGAGGCTGGCAGGGCAGCTCCTTGGCCCACGCCTGTCTGTGTCCCGGGTCCAAGCTTCACTGTCGGCCGTGGTCACACTCCAAGCCCCGCAGTGCTGGCTACCAGGGCTCCCTGGACTGTGGTAGCCTCTGCTTGTCACAGACTTCCTGTCCGCAGCGTTGAGGGTAAGGGTGGTTGGGGATAGAGCTGTCTGCCCCATCAGAGGGCCGGGTTGGCAGGAGACGCTGCAGAGGATGCAGAGACCCATAGGCGTGAGTGCTTAGACTGATGGTGAAGTGTTGAGCACCGGGGGTGGGTCTGGCCTCAGGGTCACCAGGGCCTCAGATGCACCCGCTTCCCCGCAGGTATTGTCGTCTCACCCTCCGCGGCCAGTCCTTGTGAAGGCACCAGCTCAGACAGCTGCCTGACCTCTGTGGGCGATGGCCTCGCTGGGCTCAGTGGACACCTAGCTGCTCAGGGGCTGGTGGGTGCCTGCTCCCCTCTCAGGCTGGCCTCACCACTCCTGGGCACCCAATCTGCCACCCCCGTGCTGCAGACGCACGGGGCCCTGCGAGGAGCTGCCCTATTGCCCGTCAGCTTCCAGGAGGGCCGGAGAGCATCGGACACCTCGCTCACTCAAGGTGACTTTCCCTTTCATGCCCACTCCCACCTTCCCTGGGCAATCCAAGTGTACCTACCGCCCCTGGGGGCAGGGCATCACTTTGTCCCTCGTGGCAGGTGGCTACCCTCTCTCCAGGCAGTTCTGGTAGAGCAGCGGTGCCCCTGGGCAGGCCAGAGCTGCTGCCCGGGTTTAGATGCCGTAGCTTTTAGGACAAACGCACATGGTCTCTAGAAGGTGGTCCTAAAAGTCCAAGAGACGCTTAGATGCCAGGCAGCAGGTGCCGACCTAGAGGAGCGATGGTCAGGGAGGCAACCGCCGTGAAGGCAGTCCACATCAGCCTCTCCCGACGCCCCCTCAGGGCTTGTGGGATGCTGAGGGCCCCTGGACTGCTCATTCCTGCCTTCCACAAAGAATCCACTGTCTGCCCAGATGTGTGCTTCTTCAGGGCTGCAATTGCTGCCCCAAACCAAACCCTAAAAGGGGATGACGTCCCAACTGTAGGAGGGGGGCTGTCGTGAAGTGATGGGGTGACCAGAGGGCCCCTTGACCCTGTAGGAAAGTGCTGACTCCCTCGTCCCACCATGTCCCACCACATGCCCCCCCGCCTTACTCCTCCCACCACCTGGAAGTCCCAGTGAGCTACAGGCCGTTGGTTCTGGGCTTGGGGACGGGTCTGGACACGTGTTGGTTTTGTCTCTCCCAGGGCTAAAAGCCTTCCGGCAGCAGCTGAGGAAGAATGCGAGGACCAAGGGGTTCCTGGGGCTGAACAAGATCAAGGGGCTGGCACGCCAGGTGTGCCAGCCCTCGTCCTCCAGCCGAGCCTCCCGGGGCGGCCCGCATGCTTTCCAGCTGCCCGCACAGAGTCCGGGCCTGCACAGCGGTGGAGCCGGCAGCTGGGAGGGCAGGGGCATGCTGGAGGAGGTGCTGCAGCAGCAGAGGTAGGCCCGTGGGCACCGGCTGAGACCTGGGCAGGGCTCACAGACCTCGGGGATTCCTGAGTAACGTTATCCCTGAGCTCGGGAGAGCTGTGCGCTCCTTTCCCTCTGGGGGCGGGGGCGGGGTGCATCGGCCTGTGGTGGGGGAGGGAGGGGGCAGCGAGTGAGAATGTCACGTCTGGTTGGCATCTCTGAGCTGCTCCGAAAGCAGGAGGGGGAAGGAAATGTCAGGAATTGCTCAGGGATTAGTCACACACAGAATGGCGTGTTCTGAGCAGCCCCAGCCCGCGCTTCCGCGGGGTAGGCCCTCCAGCGCCGGCAGGTGGAAACCCGATCGTGTGGCAGTCTGGCTGGGCGGTGGGGGCGGGGGGCGGCGGGGGCGCAAGCCACCAGCCGGCCAGCACTGACCTGCTCCCCCGTCCCTTGGTCTGGCCAGGTTGCTCCAGTTACAGCACCATACGACGGCCCCAGCCAGCTGCCAGCCAGCCCCCTTGGCCCTCGCCCCCTGCGACGGCGCCCTCCTCATGCCAGGACTGCAGAAGGAGGTGGGGCTGGGCCCCAGCCCTTTGCTGCCGCCGCACGTGCTCCAGGCTGGCGTCTCCCCAGTGGCCTCGGCCGCCCAGCTCCTGGATGCCCACCTGCACATCAGCAGCTCCACGGCTCCCAGCCCTGCCATAGCGGCCCCCCAGCCACGCTTTGCCATGCTGCCCGTGAGCCTGGAGCCCGCGGGGCTGCCCCACGGGGACTGTGAGATGGAAGACCTGACCTCGGGCCCGCTGGGCACCTTCGTCCTGGTGCAGTGAGGGCCCCGGCTGGGGCAGCTGACTTCTTGAAGCAATAATTTCAGAGTATGTGAAGATGGTTCCGGACGCAAAGCCAATAACTTTCCAGAAGCGAAACAAGCAATATGTTTGGTGTTTTGGATTTTTTAGTTTATTATTATTATTATTTTTCCTTGCACTGAGCAACTGTAACTCCGAGTAGAGACTGGAAACTTTTTGAAGAAAAATAATAATCCAGGGGCCTGTTGTTGGGACCGGTGGATGGGATGGGGAGGAGGGCAGCGGGTGGAGCCGGCAGTGGTATGGGCAGGGTCACAGCGGGGTGGCCAGTTGGCCCCAGGAAACCATGGTGTGAGCTGTGTGTCTCCATTGTGTGTGTATGCGCATGTGTGTGTGTGTATTAGTGGGTTTTTTTTCTTACAATTCTCCACTTCCTGAAACACTTAGATGCTTCACTTGAAAACTGTGAACTTTCTGCTTTATGTATCAGTTTTTGAAAAGCTCTAACCTCCAGTCCAAGAGAAGATGATCTACGAGTTCTTGGAATTCTCTGCCCTGAAATCAGAACCCAGAGGATAGTTTTTCTTATCTTTTGAGAGCATTTGTATAACTTATCTTTTGAGAGCTGTTGTCTAAACAGCTCGGGAGTTAGTTTTCCAGGATTCTTGGGAGGGGCTGCAGAGAGGAACCTGAGTGAGGTGGAGTGACGGAGGTGGAGGCTCCCCTTAGTCACTTGGGCGCCCTCAAGGGAGTCAGCCAGGGAGGTTCTGTTCCTCCTGCACCTCTTATTTCCGCTGCTAATTAAGTTTTTATGCATTTCATTATCAGGGTCCAAAAAGAACAACTGACTGGGGTGGGGGTGGGGAACGTGCAATATGGCGAGTCTGTGAAGGCGGTGACCAGTGTGGGGCTGCTTGTGGTGGGGGGACAGCCCACCCTGTCCAGGCCCCACACTTGGTGGGCTTTCGTTTTAGGAAAGTGAAATGAGAGGTCAGGTCAGTGTTGTTCAAGCTTTGTTCCTTTTTTAAAGCAAATACTGTACATGTATATACATAGGAGACGAACATACACTACTTATTTTTTATACTTTTTACTACATTTTTGTGTTCCTGGTGTGAACATCCCTCTCTGGTAACTGACGACGCACCTGGAGCCAGGTCCAGGTGGAGGCAGGGCCCACAGGCAGCAGACAGGTGCGCGCTCACCCGGCAGGGAAACTCAGGTGGCAGCCGCTGGACTGGGCAGGCAGCTCCCACCCCTGCGGCCGGTCAGGGCCGTCTTCCCCCCGCCCCCCCAACCCAGGTGCCTTCAGCTCACGTCGGCGCTCGCCACCTGCAGCGTTAGGCCCGGGGAATGCCGGCCCAGGTGGTGCCGACCCGGGCGATGCTGGCCCAGGAAGGGGGCCCCTGTAGAAGCCAAAGATTGCTGAGGCCCAGGAGGCGGCCCAGCCTGCGTGTTCCCAGCTCCCAGCCCTGCTGCCAATGCTGCTGCTGCTGCTCCGGGGCTGCTTCAGATCAGGACAAAGGACTCCGTGCGCCGGCGGCTGCCAAGTCACCCAAGCTTCTTGTGACTCGGACCAGGAGAGTGCCGGAGGCCCTGGGGCTCCAGCTCAGCCCCCTCCAGAGGCACCATCAGCCCCCCACCCCGAGGCCGCCTCCCACCCCTCGACGCTTCTGTTCGAATGCCATCGATCAAAGGCCTCAAAACCATGACAAGCACTTTACTCTCACTGCAGTTTTCTCTCTGTCGCTGTCAGGCGTGTCTCGTGTTGTGTCCGGCGTGTGCGACGCGTGTGCTATAGGATTCTCGGCGGCGCTGTCCTGCGAACTGAACGCGGGGGCCTGTCCTAGGCACCGTGCTATGTGATGAAGATGTACATAGTTTGGGTTTGTTGTTTTTTTTTTTTTTTTACCATAACGGAATTATTTTATTTCTTATGTTCACATGAGAAATATATGCCAAATGATTAGTGGATGTATGTTTTTTAATTTAATATTTAAATAAAACATTTGGGGAAAAAAAACCTTGACTTCTCCCCCCGGTTCATTGTGGGCTCCTTCTAAGCCACTCCCTCCAGGTTTGATGAGCCTCAGGTCCTGGGGAGAGGGCGAGGTGCCAGTCCCCATGCCTTGCTGAGCCTCAGACCCAGGTTCTTACCTGCCAGGAGTAAGGTGCTTGGTGGTCCCGGCTGGGAGGTGGGCCTACTGGTTCTCAGACCCCTTGAGCCCAGGTGGCAGCACTGCTAATCAGCCGCATGTCTTAACTGCAAGGTCTGTTTTCAGCCTGCTCTCTTCTCCCAGGGTACCATTCATACTACCCTCTTCACCCTTAATGTTCTCTGGATCCACCTATAAATCAAGGCTTTGGAAGAATCTCACAGCCGAACTATTTCCCAGTTTTTAAAGTTGGTGTCACCACTTTCTAGCAGTAAGGCAGATATGGCTGCTAGATGAACAAAGGGTACTCTTCGATTTGATGCCTGGCAACTCTCTTTTTGGTAAAAAGAAATTCTTGAACCTTTTCACACCCGTTAGGATGATCATTATATTAAAAACAAAACTATTTGCAAGGATGCAGAAATTTGACCCCTTTTGCATTGCTTGTGGGGACGTGCAATGGGGCAGCTGCTGTGGAAAACAGCGCTGCAGTTCTTCAAATGAGGACCATGTCATCCAGCAATCCCACTTCCGGGCACAGACCCAAAAACTGGATTCAGGGTCTCAGCTATCTCTACACTCATGTTCATGGGAGCATATTCACAAGAACCAAAATGTCCAAGCAACCCAGTGTCCATCGGTGGATGGGTGGATTAATAGAATGTGGTTCATCCACACAATGGAATTATCTGTGTGTGTGTGCATGTGCACTCTTGTGCTCGACCATGTCTGTGTGATCCCATGGACCGTAGCCCTCCAGGCTCCTCTGTCCATGGAATTTTCCGGGCAAGAATACTGGAATGGGTTGCCATTTCATACTCCAGGGGATCTTCCCGACCCAGGGATGGAACCCGCATGTCTTGCGTCTCCTGCATTGGCAGGTGGATTCTTTACTGCTGCGCCACTCGAGAAGACTGGGATTCCCAGGTGGCTCCGTGGTAAAGAATCCACCTGCCAAGCAGGAGACATGGGTTCGATCCCTGGGTCGGGAAGATCTCCTGGAGAAGGAAAGAGCAACGCACTCTAATATTCTTGCCTGGATCATTCCTTGGACAGAGAAGACTGGGGGCTACAGTCTGAGGGGTTGCAAAAGAGTTCAACATGACTGAGTGACTAAACAGCAACAATGGACTATTGTTCAGCCTTAAAAAGGAAGGACATTCTGATATCTGGTGTGACACAGGTGAACCTTGAGCTCATGATGCTCAGTGGCAGAGCCAGGCACAAAAGAACAGATACTATGTGATCTATTTACCAGAGGTCCCTGGAGGAGCCAGACCCACGGAGGCGGAAAGTAGGATGGCAGCGGCCAGGGGCTGGGCACGGATCAGGAGTGAGTGTTTCATGGGGACAGAGTTTCAGTTTGGAGATGATGGAAATTCCAGAGATGGGTGGTGGGGATTGTTGCACAATAATGTGAATGTAGCCAATGCCACTGAAATATACGCTTAAGTAGTTAAGATTGTAAATTTTACGTGTATTTTACCAAAATGAAAAGAAGAAAGATTTTTTCAGGGGGAGATGCAGACCCGTGGGATGTCAGGACTCTGTCCTGGGCTTACAGATCTGCTCACAAATCCTTTCTCGTCCCCAGAACAGGAGGCCAGTGGCCACAGGACTTGTGAGGCTTGTGGTGATTGAAGAGTGCTTTGGCTCCACAACCTATGTCTTGCTCTCCCAGTATTTCTGGAAGTGGACAATCCCACCTTGGGCGTTTCATGAGGTGTCAGTGCTGTGGAAGTGTGCATTCCTGGTGGGGCCTGGGGCATGGCGAGGCTGAACTAGGCTTTGATACGACCTTTAGCACATGATGGCAAATCTGGGCTTGGGCAGTGACCATGCTCTGGCTGGCTTCCTCGTGTTCAGTGCGGTGCACCTCACAGTGCCTTCTTCCTCTTGGCGGGGAGTGGACACTAACAACCATGAGCCATGTAACATGGCACCTGGCATGTGGGGAGCTCCCAGGAACACACTCACCCTGAAGGAAGTACCCTCCAGGGTACCTACAGGGTCGCCACAGCCGGAGGACACATGTCCGCCAGGGAGGAAGGCCAGTGTACCGAGTGGCCCAGGCCCCGCTCCGTCCGCCTGCTTCTGTTGAAAATGCTGATTCCTCCTGAAGCCATGCCATATCCGTGTGGTTTTACTGCCCAGAGCTCCCGGGGACAGTGCTACAGAGCCCACCCTGCTTTAGAAGAAAGCATTTTTGGGTGTTCAGAAACATGGTCAGTTTGAGTGAGACTGACTTCTGGGGGAGGGACAGAGGAAAGGATTTGGAGGGGACAGAATGGCAGAAGTTCTGGGCTGGAGCCGAGGGCTCATCTCCCCCCGAGAACCTGCCCTAAGAGGAACTGGCTTGCTTGTTCAGTTCAGTTGCTCAGTCATGTCCAACTCTTTGTAACGCCATGGACTGCAGCATGCCAGGCTTCCCTGTCCATTACCAACTGCCAGAGCTTGCTCAAACTCCTGTCCATCGAGTTGGTGATGCCACCCAACCATCTCATCTTCTGTCGTCCCCTTCTCCTCTCGCCTTCAGCGTCAGGGTCTTTTCCAATGAGTCAGTTCTTTGCATCAGGTGGTCAAATGATTGGAGTTTCAGCTTCAGCATCAGTCCTTCCAATGAATATTCAGGCCTTTTTTCTTTAGGATTGACTGGTTTGATCTCCTCGCAGTCCAAGGAACTCTCAAGAGTCTTCTCCAACACCACAGTTCAAAAGCATCAATTCTTTGGTGCTCAGCTTTCTTTATGGTCCAATTCTCACACCCATACATGACTACTGGAAAAACCATAGCTTTGACTAGGCAGACATTTGCTGGCAAAGTAATGTCTCTGCTTTTTAGTATGCTGTCTAGGTTGGTCATAGC